ACGATACCTTCCTGGGAGGAATGCCCTTCTTTAGGCCAACTTACCTAGTGTAGATATAGCAACTGACTTGATCTCAGTCTTGGTAATGGTCTTCTCTTGTGGTAGACCCACATCCCCAGTGGCATTTTGTAACAGTAAGAATTCACCTATATTTACAGCTTCTGTTCTCCCCCTCAATTTCATTTTTTTTCCTGTTTGTATCAGGGGGTCACTGGTAGACCATTCTTCCAAGCATGAAGATTGTAAAGTTGGGAAGTGGTTGTGTGTTGACGCTTGATACCCATGACGTACTCCACTGTAGTTGTAATGTGCCCTTTAATCGTCTTAATATGTTCCTTTAAGACTTCAAGATTTCTGTCATAATGACCTGTAAGCCATATGATGTATTTGGATCTTTGATAGTAATCGTGAAGGCCAGGCCCCATGGGGTAATTATACAGGCCCCCTCTTCTGTCTCCTAGCGTCCTCGGAAGACTTTCAAGAGCAGTGGCCATGTGAAGCTTAGAAGTTTGGAGTTGAATGGGAAAGTCTCATATGCCTCAGCAGCATTCTCACAACACACTCCTCAATTTCTTAATTTATCAGCCCATCACTGCTTTGGCCAATACATTGGTTGCCCAGAGGACCCTTAGGTAACCATACAGATATCCTTTACTGATGCATGAATCATGGTCAATTCATGCTTGTGGTTTGTTAACCGCAGAATGTACTTGTAAATATTGTATCACATTGCATCATGCGATCTGACACCACAATTGCCAAATTAAAACACCATCACGAGTTCCATGAATTGGCAGCTGAGATCAGTGCATCTAGGTCCATATGAGGCTAAGCTCCACCACAATGAGTCTGTCAATGTAAATTCAGTCATTTATGTTTTCATTTCAGTTTTTTGGGGACTAAAATCTGAAAATCACCTTGAATTATTTTTAAATTCATGCAGGGATGTGTGTACCCCATCTCTAATCAGTTGCTAAAACAAAAATGTTGCCTTATTGCATTCCAAAAATCTACTCAATTATTTTAAATGACAAGTACAAACAGGAAATGTCTAGACTAACTGAATTGCATTGTTACTTGCTGCAAACGGTTAAGTTTTCCACTTTTTTTTCGAAAGTACAAAGCTCACAGCAGCCCTATCTAAATCCAATAATAAGCCTGATTTTCTAGCCTCAGGCAAGCACTATATCCGCATGCAAAAATAGTCTTGTTCTTCTGACTACCAGAGAAAATTCTAAGTCTTTTTATAATCCTCTTATTTTCGCAGGCAAAATGATCTAGAACCAGAATGCGGATGTGAAGGGAAGGATTTCTGGATACTTTGTAACTAGTGCAACCACTACCCTAGTGAGAAACCTCCTCTAAGCATTACAGATAAACATAGCAGATGGAAAATGAGGTTGGTCACAAAGATGGTTAATAATTCAAGTTACCTTTTGAAAAAATCAGTAGCATTGAGTCTGGAACTCTATAATTTATTACTAAGGAAAAAAAACAAACATAACAAATGCCATTTTTTTTAGGTTCTGCCAAGAAAGTGCACCTCAATCATCTAAATAAAACTAGAAAAAGGTATTACCTTTATTTCTTAATACAAAAACATAATTAGCACTTGGTAGATGACACTTACATGTTTCGTGCCTTAATGGCACTTCATCATGGGCAGTATTGATAGTATTATTTATACATACAATAGGTGGGGCATTCAGTATATCTGTAAAATGACAAAAGAGGTACAAAAAATAGTGCAATATGTTATGAGTAGGTACTATGTACAGTTAAATTAGGATGGTTGGAGCCAAATATAGACATATGGCTCGCATGGGATGTGCAGAGGGACTCTTAGTAGGATGTCCCGTCCTTCTTTTTTTAACCCCCTCTCAAGTCCTCTGGGTGGTGGTGCTGGTAAATAATCCAAACGGCTCTTTTCCAAAAAAAGGGATTCTTTATTCCATAAATTAAAATGTGTAATAAAAATGTCCAATAAATGTCCAATAAAACAAATATACGTTTCTGGCATATGCCCTTGGTGTTCCAAAACGCGTTTCGCCCTATACCCAGGGCTTCCTCAGTCTAGAAACTGATGTTCCTCTGTGAATTCCACTTCCCATGGCAGCCATATATCTATATTTGGCTCCAAGTTTGTTACCATCCTAATCTAACTGTACATAGTACCTACTCATAACATATTGCACTATTGTTTGTACCTCTTTTGTCATTTTACAGATATACTGAATGCTCCACCTATTGTATGTATATTTTATGATTATCTTGAAGTGGTGTTAGGGGATCTCACTAAGGTGTCTTTTGAGCATTCATCACCATTACATACCCTGTACTGTGCACTTTATTCCTTGTGGTAGTATTGATGGTATACATGACAATATTGAGAGATACAAAACCAGGACAGGAGGGAACCAGGCCAAAAAGGAAGCATGTCAGGGACCAAGGTACGTCATTGCTGGTGGACTAAGGAAGTTGATCCTGAGATTGTGCATTAGTCATCTATGAGTGGGTCCTTAGCACACAACTAATCCTAGCACCCAGCAAACTGGGGCTCTGCATAGCGTAGCACTGTCACCCAGTTTTAGCCAAATTATTGTTTAATTTGTCAGAGTTGGTTTAGTTATGAAGGGGGATGTAAACATTATAAACAGCAGCATTACAGTAGTAAATGCTCTGGTTTAAATGAGTAAGTCCCTATTTTTTCAATGTATATCACCTACCTCCTATGCCCATGAACAAATGAGAGATATACTACTGATCGGAAATTATTTCTGGTCTTTCCATCTATGTTTTATATTATGTATTACAATGTTCAAAGAACTGAAGCTGCCCTAACTTTTCCCAAAACATACTATAGTCACCAAAACAAATTTAGTTTAATTAAGCAGTTTTTGTGTCTCGCTGCTCAATTCTCTGCCATTTAGGAGTTAAATCACTTTTTTTTGTTTATATAGCCCTAGCCACACCTCCCCTGGCTGTGACTGACACAGGCTGCATGACAAAAAAAATATTTTATTTTCAATCAGAAGTTAAATTCTAATTAACTTTTTTATCTCCTAGTAATTTTACTCTAATCACACACAGGAGGCTCCCGCAGGGTCTATCTAGCAAGCTATTAACAGAGCAGGAGATAAGACATGCTAAATTAAGCAGAATTTGCAATAGAGGAAGTGTACACATTAGATGACTCTTTACAGGAAGTGTTTAGGATGGCTGTGCAAATTCCATGCAGGGAGGTGTCTTAACTTTATTTTAACTCCTAAATGGCAGCGAATTGTGCAGTGATACTGCAGGGGCACCAAAACTCCTTCATTAAACTAAGGTCGGTTTTGTGACTATAGTGTCAGCTTAATGTAAATGGTGTAAGTTCGCATGACATAATGATTACTCCTGTGACCCAGAGACATGCATTCATTAGTCATATGAGACTTGTAATTAGAAATAAATGGATCATCTTTTAGCAAATGCCAGTGTTACATAATTTAGCATCAACAGACTGAAATATATTTCAGTTTTGCCATTCGGACCTCTCAGTATCCATATTGTTAGTCTAATGTTGTTGTGTTTTTCCTACATTTTTAATTCTCCTACATACCTGTTATAATAATGGCAACAATAAATGATATATAAAGAATGCACTGCAATACAGTTAGAATTTTTTTTTTTTTTTAAAACATGATGAATTAACAGTGTGTACCCACTATAAGTAAAGAAGCAAAGTTAAAAAGCCACTATTGAAGAAATCGTGAATTTATAATATTATTGCAAATGTAGACCAAAATAATCAACATTAGAAATTAGCAGAATCGGATGAATTTTCCAATCATTATACTTTGGTCTAAAATTCACAATTGGTCTCAAATCCCAATATGTTAAAGAACCATGAATGTGTATGATTCCCTTTCGAAACAAGAGATAAAGACTGTATGGACTTACCAGCCATATTTTAAATAATGATGAATACTAATTATAAATACCGTAATAATGATAAATATTGTGTGTAAAAAAAGTTCAAAGAATGTTTGCTCCATCTAATTTTCTTTATTTGTACTTTAACATTCAATCTGTCAGTGTAGTGGGTTTAATGGCTATGAAGAAACACACACACAGAATACCAGGGTTATTCGCAAGGTGTCAATTCACGATAATTTCAAAATGAATTTCAAACTTAAGACTAAAATATCCAAACTGGAAAAAATTCTCTAAGTCACCTATGCTGTCCATTCAACTACGCTGGCCTTTTAATTTAAAGGGACACTATAGTCACCTGAACAACTTTAGCTTAATGAAGCAATTTTGGTGTATAGAACATGCCCCTGCAGCCTCACTGCTCAATCCTCTGCCATTTAGGAGTTAAATCCCTTTGTTTATGAACCCTAGTCACACCTCCCTGCATGTGACTTGCACAGCCTTCCATAAACACTTCCTGTAAAGAGAGCCCTATTTAGGCTTTCTTTATAGCAAGTTCTGTTTATAAACATAAACACAGTGATTTAACTCCTAAATGACAGTGAATTGAGCAGTGAAATTGCAGTGGAATGATCTATACACTAAAACTGCTTTATTTAGCTAAAGTAATTTAGGTGACTATAGTGTTCCTTTAAAATTAACTTTGTATTCACTTTGAGTTATCACTCTAACAAAAAGCCTCGTATGACTTGTAAGTAATAATGTTAACTAAACACATTATCATATAATGTTAACGTAAGATCAGTCACGTTGGAATAAATGTACGTTGCTAATTTTTTTGAGCAGTTACAAAGCGTACTAACAGTTTGCTATATGATTAATAAATCACCTCCGAAAGCTAATTGTATAATTGTTTAAATAAATAATTTGCCATTTAAGAATAAATGTGAAATTAATCCAGATATTCTGTTTGTATCTCTCTGGCTGTACGTCACGTCATTGCATTGCAGTGTATTGGTCACCCGTTCAAACACAGCCAAGAAACTATGAGTGAGAATTTGTTTTGGCAGGCTCAGAGCTGATAGCATGTTTCGGCATGGCAAGGCCTCCGTTCAAAATCCCAGCAATCAGCTTGTTTCAGGAGCTTACGTATTGAAAAGCAAGCAAGCCCGGACAATGGCTGCATATTTCCTATAGAGTCATCATCGAAGCATTCATTCAACCCGGCGTCCTTGTATTCAACGCCACTCTGCCAGAATCATCGCCACTCTCTTTGTAATCAACACATTTCCAGAACAAGCGATTGAGAAAGGTAAATGAAGGAATAATTACATTTTCAGCCAGAGAGGCCAATCAGTCATTGTCTTAAGACCTGGCTGCAGTGTAGTTTATTGAAGTTTAGTCCAGTGTTCTGCGTAACTAACCCCTGTTTTCTGATGTGGACTAAGGTCTTGTCTTGTGCAAGTTTTGTGTTTTGTGTTGGTTATATATACATTGTGATGCTTGTTACTTTTTTCTGCGTCAGATATGTTTAAACTAAAATAGACGAACTGTGACTAAATGAATTGGAGATGTGGCTAAAGGTTCCCAATTCAGTGTTTAGTGAATTAACCCGTATGAATAACTCTGCCTGGGGATGAGATTTGTATTTGGTTCTTTTATAACGATAAAATTCCTTGCCTGAATATTTGGTGACTCAGTTATAAATATCTTTCCACTCTGGGTAGTTCCAGCTTTTTTTGTAGTACTATTACTGAAATTATTTATTACTTACAGTAAGCAAATCGAAACATAGAATCTGCTGGAGGCTGTAAAAATGACATTAAGAGTAAGTTGCTGTATTTGCAGAGCCCATTAATTAGTGACATAGCCTTCATTCTAAAGGTCGATATAATGAGCACCACTAAGCTGAGTTATAGAATCTATTACTCTGTAACAAATATGGTCAGGCTCAGGACGTGCATTTAGCTCTTGGAATTCATTTAAATGGTTAAAAGACACAAGATGGACCGTTAGGTATTATTACTAAAGATGGCACGTTGTAACGAGTTTCAGCATTATTTTAGTTAGGAAGTTCCCAGATTTGCTTTACCATCTCTGCTGCTCCACTTCCCCTAGCAGTGCTGCCTCCTCTCCTGCTCTAAATCCCTGCTGCCGTATTACCTCCTCTGCTGCTCTACATCCCTGCTGCCGTATTACCTCCTCTGCTATTCTACATCCCTGCTGCCATATTACCTCCTCTGCTATTCTACATCCCTGCTGCCGTATTACCTCCTCTGCTATTCTACATCCCTGCTGCCATATTACCTCCTCTGCGACTCTACATTCCTGCTGCCGTATTACCTCCTCTGCTGCTCTACATCCCTGCTGCCGTATTACCTCCTCTGTTACTTTACATTCCTGCTGCCGCATTACCTCCTCTGTTACTCTACATTCCTGCTGCCGCATTACCTCCTCTGTTACTCTACATTCCTGCTGCCGTATTACCTCCTCCGTTACTCTACATCCCTGCTGCCATATTACCTCCTCTGCTGCTCTGGTCCCCTTGCTGCCCTTCAGCGTGTCCCTACACTTCTGTCTGCCTATGCTGCTCTATGCATTTTGCTGCTGTGCTTCCCTCTGCTGTTCTGCCTCCCTCTGCTTCTCTGTCCCCCCCTGCTGTTCAACTGTCTCTGCTGCTCTTCCTCCTCTGCTTCTTTATATCCTCTGCTTCTCTGCCTCTCTATATTGCTCTGCCTCCCTCTGCTGCTCTGCCTCTCTATATGCTCTGCCTCCCTCTGCTGCTCTGCCTCTCTATATTGCTCTGCCTCCCTCTGCTGCTCTGCCTCTCTATATTGCTCTGCCTCCCTCTGCTGCTCTGCCTCTCTATATTGCTCTGCCTCCCTCTGCTGCTCTGCCTCTCTATATTGCTCTGCCTCCCTCTGCTGCTCTGCCTCACTATATTGCTCTGCCTCCCTCTGCTGATCTGCCTCACTATATTGCTCTGCCTCTCTCTGCTGCTCTGTATATGCTGTTGCCCTTGCTATGTTATCCCTTTTCTCGTCTGTCTCCTTCGTCTGCTCTTCCTTTCTCAGCTACTTCACTCCAATGTTATGTCTGGATGGAAGGAGAGAATCCTCCTTTCATAACATTATTATTTACTAATAAAATAATTATAGAAAATAAAAGCAATGTACACACATATAAAAAGTATATTCATTTCTATTACATCTGACAATTGGGATACGCACACAGCAATCTCCCTCACACACGGTCAAAGCAAAGCAGCACATTGGGAGCAATAAAATGGGCAGCGTTTATCTGATCGATGCTTTGCTGCCTGTCACAGTGATGTAAGAGGGGGTAGGGAGATACACAAGGAGAGTATTACTTTACTGAGAGGGTAGTGGATGCATGGAATAGCCTTCCAGCTGAAGTGGTAGAGTTTAACACAGTAAAGGACTTTAAGCATGCGTGGGATAGGCATAAGGCTATCCTAGCTATAAGATAAGGCCAGGGACTAATGAAAGTATTTAGAAAATTGGGCAGACTAGATGGGCCGAATGGCTCTTATCTGCCGTCATATGTTTCTATGTAACAACGACACACAAAGATGTAGAAGGGGGGGTTAAGAGACACACAGCAGGTAAGGAGGTTAAGAAATAAACTGCAGTTAAGAAAGAAAGTTAGAAGTAGGTAGGAAACAGAGGGGTAAGTGAGTAACATGTAAGGGAGGCTTAAGAGCAGGGGCGGGCTGGGCCGGGGTCAGGGAGGCAATTGCCCCCCAGTTCGCCCTAAATCCTTTTAAGACCACACAGCTTCTCACCTCCCCTCCTCTGTAGCGTGGCCGAGCTCCTTTCCGGTCCGTAGTGCCCGGCCGGACTGATAGGAAGGTGCACACTGAGTGTGCACTTCCTGTCAGTCCGGTTACAGGAAACTGAAACTCCACGCGGAACAGGAGTTTCAGTTTCCTGTAATCACCTGGACTGACAGGAAGTGCACACTGAACGTGCACCTTCCTGTAACTCCGGCCGGGCACCGCGGACTGGAGAGGAGCTTGGCCACACTACAGGGAAGGGGAGGTGAGAAGAGGGGGGAGAGTAAGAAGAAGGAGGGGGGTAAGAAGAAGGAGAGTAAGAAGAAGGAGGGGGGTAAGAAGAAGAAGAGGGGGGAGTAAGAAGAAGGTGGGAGAATAAGAAAAAAAGAGAGTACAGAAGAAGAATAAGAAGAGAAAGAAGGGGAAGTAAGAAAGAGAAGGGAGTAACAAAAGAAGGGGTAAGAAAAGAAGAGGGGAGTAAGAAGAGAGAGGGAAGTAGAAAGAAGAGAAAGAGAGAAAAGAGAAAAGAAAGAAGGGGGAGTAAGAAAAGAAGAAGGGGAGTAAGAAGGAAATAAGAAGAAGAAAGGGAGTAAGAAAAAAGATTAGGTAAGAAGAAGAGGGAGTAAGAAGAAAAGAAAAGAAAGAAGAAAGGGAAGTAAGAAGAAAGAAGAGGGGGAGTAAGAAGAGAGAGAAGAAGAGAGGGAGTAAGAAAAAAGGTGGAGATAAGAAAAAGAGGGGAGTAGAAGAAGTAAGAAAAGAGGGGAGGAGATAAGAAGAAGGGAAGTAAGAAAAAGAGGGAGTAAGAAAGAAGAAGGGGAAATGCAGAAAAAGAGGGAGTAAGAAAGAAGAAAGGGAATAAGAAGAAAGAAGAGGGGAGTAAAAAAAGAGGGGAGTAAGAAGAAAGAGAAAGAAGAAAGGGAGTAGAAAGAAGAAAGGGGAATAAGAAGAAGAAGAGGGGTGGAGTAAGAAGAGGGGGGTAAGAAGAAGGAGGGGAGATAAGAAGAAGAATGGGGAGTAAAAAGAAGAAGAATAGTGGGAAGTAAGAAGAAGAACAGTGGGAAGTAAGAAGAAGAAGAGTGGGAAGTAAGAAGAAGAAGAGTGGGAAGTAAGAAGAAGAAGAGTGGGAAGTAAGAAGAAGAGGGGGGTAAGAAGAAGGGGGTAGTAAGAAGAACAAGGGGGAAGTAAGAAGAACACGGGGAGGAGGGGGGGTGAGCAGAAAACACAGCAAGGGTGGAGGGGGGGGGATGAGAAGAGCACTAAGGGGCAGGGGAGAGCTCTAAGGGACAGAAGGGACAGCTCTATAGGGCAGGAGGCAAGACATGGAGCTCTTTCACACTACGCGCACACACACACACAATGCATCCCTATACATACACAGAAACACACAATGCATCCCCACACAAACAGAAACACAACATGCTTCCCTTACACAAAAAGAAACACACAATGCATCCATTACACACACACAATGCAACCCTTACACAGGAAAACAATGCATCCTTTGCACACATACACAGAAACACACAATGCAAACCCTTACACACATACTGCTTTTCTTACATACAGAAACACAATGCATGTCTTACACTCAATGCACACACATACAGACACACACCTTGCATCCCTTATGCATACAAACACAGATTCACACAATGCATCCCTTACACACAACCAGAAACACACAATACATTGCTTATACACAAATACACACTGCTTCCACTACACACAAACACACTGCATCACCTACACAAACTGGTATCCCTATACACTACATACCATAAGCACACATATTAGATCCTCTACAATAACACATAACACATCCCCTACACACTCCACTCCCTGTGAGCGAACTCATGGGTGGGTGGAATATATAAGTGGATTTATGAGTGGGCCTTATGGGCATACTCGCCGTCAGGCCCTGGGGCCCAGACCTTGAGCTATGTAAGGGGCCCCAAAAAAATGGAGCTGCTTCCAATTCTTCCAGAACATTGAATTTTGTGACCACAGTTGCAAACAGCCTCCAGAGATCCTGTTCTACACCAGACCAGTGGAGCCAAACTGCAGCCCATCATCATCCTCTTCTGGTTGTAAGTAGGCAATCTAGTATGGTATTAGTGACACTCATCTATAATTTACCTCACATTAAAGGGACACTATAGCTTAATGAAGTGTTTCTGGTGTCAATAGCCGGTCCCTGCAGGCTTTTTAATGTAAACACACACTGTGTGCAGCACTGGCGTTAGTTCATATGGCAGATCATATGGGTGGGGCATTGTGATGTCACATGGGAGCGGCAAATCTTTCTTTTGCCTAGGGCAGCAAAAATCCTTGCACCGGCTCTGATACTGGGCAGGTGCACCAGTCTACTGGTGACCCACAGGAGGGGAGTGCACTGATTGCACTGCACTCTCCTCCTGCCCAGACCCGTCTTTACCGCAGTGCAAGTGCCTCTGCCCCTAATTTAAAGTGGCTCACACTCACAGCAAGCAGTGCCTGGAGCCCTTTGCAGAGACGGGA